GGCAGGCACTGGGTGTGGGCGTGTGGCAGGTGGGGAACCACGTTCCCCCAGTCAGGAGCAAGCCGGATTTGAACGTGTTCGCGAATAAGTTCTTGAAGGATCAGGATGCGAATACGAATATCATCAAGACAGATGGGGCTCATGATCTTGGGTTCGTGGATTCGAGGTGGATCAATTGGAAGGTTCATAACCTTTCTTGACCGTACGTGATGCTGTTTTACCATCCTTCTTCGTCCCCGTTCGTTTCGAGAAATTCTGATTTGGTGTGTTTTCCTATCCTTTGGGGGGCATCTTAGAGCAGAGAATCCGGCTCTGGAAAGCAGAGCCATTCCTCTGTCTGGGCACACATTTAGCCAATCCCTTCGCCTAGCAGTCCTTTTCCCAGGTCACGGCCCTTCGATTGTACGATGCCAGTAACCTACCTCCCACCATCTCACCTGCTGGTTCTGCTCCGCCAGGAAAAAGTGCAGAGAAAGAAAGCACTGTGTGATCTGTATCTACAGCAATAATTCGGCGTGGATGATTACGCAAGAGATTCAAAAGAGGCGACAATCAATGACAACAGGCTTGACTTCGAGTTTGACACACCCGGTACATTATCACCAAGATGTATACTCTCTAAGATTGAAGCTTCCTTTTTATCCAATTTTCAGCCCCTCCAATACCTCGTCGGGACAAACGGCATACCCACGACCCTCGCCCTCCTCCTCTTGCCCCTCACCTCAACCTCCAGCTCCGCCCCCTTCTTATGCCTCCCGCCCTCCACCCCTACATACCCCATCGCGATATTCCTCCCGAGCGTCGGCGACGGGATCCCCGACGTCACTTCCCCAAGTAAGATGTCACTCTCCGGCTCGTATATCTTCGCGCCCTGCCTCGCCGGGGCGCCCTCCACCTCCAACCCCACGCGCCGCCTCTCTGGCGTCTTCAGCGCCCCCTCAAACCCAATAAACCCCCCCGCAGCCTTCCTCTCCTTCCCCACAACCCACCCCAGCCCCGCCTCCAACGGCGTAGTCCCCTCGTCCAAATCCTGTCCATACAAACACATCCCCGCCTCGAGCCTCAACGAGTCCCGTGCGCCGAGCCCCGTGAGCTGCACGGGCTCGCTGGAGAGCAGGTTCTCGACGATTTCCGCGGTGCTGTGCGGGGGGATGGAGATCTCGAAGCCGTCTTCGCCGGTGTACCCCCCGCGGGCGACGTGCAGGGTGTACCCCCCGTCGAGGGGGACCCACGCGGATTTGCCGAATGTGAGGGTGCGGAGGTCGAAGGAGGTGAGGGATTGGAGGTAGGTGGCTGCGAGGGGGCCTGTGCGAAGTTAGGGTTAGAATAGCGGGAGGAAGGGTTGGTTTTTTTTACCCTGTAGAGCAACGAGTCCCCAGCCTTCCAGCACCTCCATCTCCACCGGTCCCTCCTTCTTAGCCCTCTCCCCACTATTCCACTCCCCGATCCTCTCCTCAAACCAGCCCAAATCCCGCTCTCGCCTCCCAGCATTGGTCACCACATAAAAAGCGTCCTCCGCGTGTTTGGTGATTATCGTGTCGTCGATGATGCCTCCGTGCTGGTTGAGCAGCACAGAGAGCGTGGAGGAGTACGGGGATAAAGCGGTTAGGGCGGAGGGGGTGAGCCATTCGAGGAACGGCTGGGCGGTGGGGCCGCGAAAGTTGGATTGCACCATGTGACCGACGTCGAATAGCCCGACGCTGGTGCGGACGTGGTTATGGCTGGCCACTACCGGAACACGCGGGTTAGATGGACGAATGTCTTCGCTGAGCTCACAGCAAACTCACCCGCTCCTACATCGCCATACGAAAGCGGCATCGAGTATCCCGCGAACGGGACCATCTTCCCTCCATTTTGGACGTGAAAGTCATACAAAGGCGTTTTTCGCAACTGTGCAGGAATAAATAGGACAAGCTACGTATTAAGAAGAACTACGCACTGGCTCGGTTGCGGACGTCGCGAATCGACGAGCGAGCGAGCGGAGAAACATGGTGGAGGAAAGGAAAAAGGGGATGATTTGCAAATTCGGCACTATCTATGCAAAGTCTAGCTCCGGATACAGCGGCCCGTATGCCAATGTGGCTGTACTGTTTATTTACAGACGCTATTATCGACGATCAGTGTTCTCCTTTCGTCAGTCACCTTCGCAACACACCTACCACCATGTCCCGATTCGTCCGAGCCTCAAAATACCGGTGCGCTGTTTCTTATATAGTTGGATTTTGTTGACATCTCCCCAGCCACGTCTTTGGACAAGCAGCCAAAAAGGACCACGGCTTCGAGAACGTCAAGGTGACGGGCAGCGCCTGGGATACCAATGTTATATCAGCATCCGCAGCGTACATCTCCGTCAACTGGAACGCATCCGGCGGAGGGGCGTTTGCCATCCTCCCTCTTCCCTCCCCATTCGTCGCACACCCCTCCCTCCCGTACAAACTCCCTGACTCGCTCCCCCTCGCGCGCTCGCACACTGCCCCCGTGCTCGACACCGACTGGTCCCCGCACGACGACGCCCTCGTCGCCTCCGCCGGCGAAGACGGCAAACTCATGATCTGGAAAGTCGCCCCGGACGTCTTCGAGGGCTGGGGCGCCGAAGGATGGGTCCCCAAGGACTTTGACCCGGTATGGCGGATCGACGCCAGCCCGCGGAAAGTCGGGCAGGTGCTTTTCCACCCCACGGCGGAGAACGTCCTCGCCAGCGCGTCCGGCGAGCACCTCGTCAAGCTCTGGGACCTCGCACGGACCGAAGATCCGCAGCTCGTCTTAAATGGACACACCGACACCATCCAGAGCATCGCATTCAGCCCCACCGGCACCCTCCTCGCCACGACGTGCCGCGACCGCAAGCTCCGCCTCTTCGACGCTCGGACAGGCGGCGACGCCATACGCGCTGTCGACGCACACGGCGGGATCAAGGGCGCGCGCGTCACGTGGATGGGCGATCTCGGCAAGGTCGCCACGACCGGGTTCAGCAAGATGAGCGAGCGCCAAGTCGGGATATGGGACGTCGGACAGGGGCTCGCGAACGAGAAGACGACGGCACTCGACCAGAGCGCAGGGGTCGTCATGCCTTTCTGGTCGGACAATAATATCCTCTTCCTCGCTGGGAAGGGAGACGGGAACATCCGGTACTACGAATACGAATCCTCCTCGCTGTACGCCCTCTCCGAATACAAATCCTCCGACCCTCAGCGCGGGATGTGTTTCCTCCCCCGGCGAGCCCTCAACATCAGCGAATGCGAGATCGCACGCGCATACAAGGTGCACGGCTCCTCCATCGAGCCCATCGCATTCATCGTCCCCCGCAAAGCCGACTCTTTCCAATCCGACATCTACCCACCCGCCCCCGCCAAAGAACCGTCCCTCACCGCAGGCGAGTACTTCTCCGGGCGGGGAGAGGTGGCGCGCAAGTTGGTGAGCCTCGATACGGGCAAGACCGTAGCGAGTCCTTCCCCGACAAAGACGACGTCTGCCCCCGTCCCTGCACCAGCACCGATTGCTGTATCCTTCTCGCAGCCCGCGTCCGCATCCACCCCTTCAGCACCCCCCATGTCCGCATCCAGATCCTACTCCCACCCCGAGCCTTCTCCACCAAAGGAGACCATCCCTCCTCCGAAAGAACCCACCCCGAAATCTGCGTCCCCCGTAGAAGACGTGAGTATCTTCCCCTCTTGTCGTGCTGACCACTGACTATTCCCCCCAGCCCGAAAACGCACAACTCAAAGCGGAGCTGAGGGAGGCGAGAGAGAAGATCAGGAATTTGGAGCTCCAGTTGGAGGCTACGAAGGCTAATGCGAAAAGGGCCGCAGAGGCGTTGCTGAATGTGTAGCATTCGTAGACACGGTGGATTTTGATATTTATTATGGAGACTAATTGATGGTGCTTGTGGGATTCTCAAAGGAAGGAAAAGGTACGCTGAGAGGTGATGTCAGCTTGAACAAACAGGGTCTGCAGATGTCCTTGACATTGACAAAGAAGTGTACTTGTCTACGCACGAGTGACCGTTCTGCGATTGCGAGACACGGTTCCTAGTATTCTAAGCCTCAGGGTACACGGATACAATGGGAGAGTGACTCGCTTTTGGATGACCAGCGCTGGTGTCGTACTCAGCTATGAATAATCAGTAAGGGTCAGCCGTTATTCTTGTCTTTGCGTTCTCTCGTTTGGTTTCTGTTAGGTTCTAGACAACAACAACATTCGCAGCACTTCCCCCGTCGCAGACTGCAAAACTTGACTAGTTGAGCAGCCCTGTATTTGTGACCTTACTAGGCTCTGTAACGAAAATCAGTAAAAACCAAAAACCACAGTCTGAGGGACCTCCGACCAACACTCCGCAGCATGAGTATTACTCCCGATGGTGTACTACACGACAGTATGACGACAATACTTGGAGCTCTTAGCTGCGAACAATGGCTTGTAAGCGAAATATTTACGTGGTGGTCGTTACAACCATCGTCAGCCATATTACAATCCATTCGAATAATCTCATGAATCAAGATTCACCATTAGAGTTGTGCACGAAGCCCTGGGTTCTGATTCACTCAGGCTTTTCAACCAGTTAGTGACAGGTAATTTACATCCCCCCCGCCGGCTAGAGGGGGTTTCATCGAGGTAACTTACCTATCATGTGATGATGCAAGAGCAGCAAAATCACCGTCATATTCAACTCTACTAACATGTTTACAAAGTAAGATTCTGCTCTGTAGTGCTCTGCACTAAATTATTAAAAAAGGCACAAAAAGCAAGGATAGTAGCGGGTGTCTGGTATTTGTAGACGCGCCGGATTTTCATATTTATTCAGGAGAATAATTGACAGTGCTTGTGCCATTCTCAGAAGGAAGGAAAAGGTACGCCAGTGAGAACAGACTCCCATTGTTAGGCCTACATATTTAGGTGCTAGGGCCTCAACTTTAAAGTCTATCTAAGGAGTCCGTCCTACTGGAGATGAGCAATGAGCATAGAGGCTACACGGAACAAAAAACACTCCTGGACATTCCATATGGCCAACGTGGGGATCGAACCCAAGACCTTCGCGTTAACATGTCGTCTATTCCAACAAGTATTAGCACGACGCTCTAACCAACTGAGCTAGTCGGCCAACAGCATTATTGCTACTATAACAAATGAATATTTACTATATTATTATATATACCAACACTCTACCTTTTTCACTTGAGGTAACATCCTAACGGCCATGTATCGTGCAAGCTGCAAGCTCAAATAATGCCAAGTTCTTGACAAATATGGTGAGACAAATTTTCAGGAATGGAATCAGCACCATTTCCGATAAGCCATGTTGTATCTGGACCACAGTGCTCAGTGCTCATCATGTTCTGTGCCCCAAGTCACCATTATAACATATATCAAGGCGTACCTTCTTACAGGACAAGTTCTTACCCTGCTTGGATGGGGTGGTTATCAGTTCGCGTCATAACCATTGTTCATTTACATCATTGATTACCTGTGAATATATATATGTTAAACTCGCCCCACTGCACTACTGAAGGACTGAATCAACACTGTGTCCGCGGACTAAAATCAAACTTCATCTTTCCCTCAGAGTCGTAGATCCCGTACCCGGGCTCCTGGTCGTCCGAGTAGATGTGGGCGAACCAGCCTACGCCTCCTCCCGCTACGGTCTTGAAGAACTCGCATTGCGAATCGAGCAGGACGTAGTAGTCCTAACCAGCGCGCGGGATTAGAATGGGAATGGGAATGAGAGATGGGGAAGGGACGAGGACGTACGTGTTCGTTGGGTATATCGGATACTGCATACGGGCTGTTGGGCTGCACGCCTTCGGAAGTGACAGATGGCCATCCGTTCTATGGCGAGGTAAATGACGTCTGGATGATCATTAGGGGGAGAACAGACGCACCTCGCTCAGGTATATCTTCTTCCCTTCACCATTATCAAGGAACCTATGCAGAGACGTGATTATAGACCAACGGGCAAAATATGTATGGCTTTACCAATCCAAATCAGTAAGAACAATGGGCCATGAGTTGTTAGCTAGTCACAGCGCTTAGTCGAGGAGCTTGAAAGACAATGGACGACGAACCGGTCGAAGCTTGCTGCGAGAAGAACGGTAGCATATGCGCGTCGATCAGGTCGATAGCGTCCAAAACCGACTGGGCACCCCCGCGTTCCTAAAAAAACAATTCCTGTCATCCAACGAACCGAACACAACAGCCATCAACACGTCCTCACCTGATACCCATACGCCATATCCGAAATAGTCACCGGAATCCCCAGACTCGACAAATTGGCCTTAGCCTCCCACACCTGCTCCGCTAGGTCATCAGGATCCAGCACGTTGTCGAAAAGCGGCTCAGAGCCGAATTGGAGGACGCGTGTGACGAAGGGGGCTTTGGGGTTGGCGTGTAGGGCTGCGAGGAGCGTGTCGCGGCGGGAGATCCAGATATCGGAGCCGTCGAAGCCGAACTGGGAAGAAGGAAGGATGAACGTGAGACTCAGAGGATGGTTGAAGGGGCCTACCCAAATAAGAGCGTGGACGCCGAGGTTGGCTTCCCATGCTGCAGTGATGATGTCGTCGCTATGGGCATGACATTAATTACGAGAAATGACAATAGATGGACGGGGGAAGAACATACTAGAAGCCCTCTCGGTCGCACGCGCCGTACATACGAACGTATCGCCCATTGAATCTCTCGCGTATATCCTTGAATTCGCGTTTAAGCTGCTTGAGACTTTGACCTAGGTCGACGATGAGAAAAGGGGGCAAGAGACGATCAGGGGAGGAAAGAAAACCATACACGCAGTGACCTCGTAGCTGAACCCTACGAACGCGTAGTCTGATTCGTACGGACACCACCAATTATCGAGGGATTCGGGCGTGGCATCTGGCATCGAGAACCCGAGAGCGGGGAAGCATGATTGAGGCGGCGCCGTAGGAGAATGGTGAGCGGGGCTCGCAAGAGCTGTAGCGACGAGAGACAGGAGAACGGGAAGTAGAGGAACCATTGTCGGTCGTCTTTTCCCAGACCTCCCCCTCCCTGTGTTCTTATAGAATTCATGGTGCCATTCCAAGAGCGATGAAGTCAGAACGAAGGTAATAAGGATCGCGAGACGTGCAAGTAATAGGCGCCATGGAGGTTCCTTATGGTTGGCTGCAATGTCGTGGTAGGTATGCGCATATGCATATGGTTGGAGAAATCCTCTTAACCAACTGGCACGTGGAGGAGTGTTGCATGGGACATGTCCTATGACATGACTTTGAAAGAGACAGCCAGTTGGAAAGGCAGGGAACGGCTGACAGCTGACTATGTACGCTCCCAGTGGACACCTCAAGGAAGTCAACAGAGACGAAGTGCATGGCACTCGAGCACCGAGTACTTGACTTATTACAGACGGTGCAGAGGGTACATGGCGATGATCAGAGTCAGAGTTGATCCCGATGTCGCTCTCCACACGATCGCTCATCGGTGAGATCATAGCATGCTGATTGATTCTATTAGGCCTAAAAATAAACGTCAGAATGGGGAAGATACGATCTTTAGGGAAATGCCACATCACCGGCCTCAATTCGCTCGGGAAACAAAAGAACAAAAGCTGGGAGCTGGAGACGGAGTAGTGAATTGGCTGAAGGAGACTAGAGACGATGTCTGTGCTGCTATGAAGTGGACGACGAATGAGTGCAGAGGTAAAGAAAGACCTTCATTTGGCAGGAGAGGACCAGTGAATTCCAAATGAACGTGTCTCCCAGTCGAATATGGCTGTCTGAAGCGAGGTCTCGAGCATTCTTCACACCAGTTCGATTACCACGCGGTAGGTCTACAAAGGAAACAAGTCCCCCAGAGTCGTCTCTTTGACGTCGGAAGAAGGATAATCACCCGGGACGAGAAGAACCGGCATGTCAGGACCACAAAACTCGCGGAGGACTTGACGGCACAATCCACATGGTGATATCGCGGAAAATAGATTCCTGGCAATCATGATGGCCGTGAACAGAGGAGTCAGGATAAATTTGGAATATTTTTACGATGTGATGGCGAGCCCTCGGAAATATGTGGTTCCGTCGCTCTGAGAAGATCAGTGAGCGGCTGAAGTGAAAGTAAGATCACGTTGGACTGACAACCGCCTTGACAATAGCCACGCGTTCAGCGCAGATCGTATCAGCTGAGAGTTGTGTAAGCTTCTGGACTTGTGGGAACATCGCTGAAAGGAATCAGGATAATCTCACCGTAATTCGCATTATCAACGCTGCAACCCTGTATCATAGTGCCGTCGAGCGCAAGGAGAGCGGCGCCCACAGGAAAATGAGAATAAGGACTATACGCTTTATCTTTCGCTATAGAATACTAGTATTTAGTAATAGAAACACTATCAGAGTCGATCGCAGATACCTTCGAAAGCTGCTCGTATAAGACTATTTCGTTCGACTGAAGAAAGTGACATGGTATTAGTAAAGGAGGAAGATAAACACGTGGCCCCAGGCCCCCAGCCATCGAAGATGAAATCAAAACTGCTAAGACGACCGTCAAAACGTGGCAAGTCTACATATCGGCTTTGTGGCTCTCAACCTTACAATCCCCGCGCCTTTTACTAGGGGATTCCGTGTGAGCCATGATCCAAAGCTGGAAAGCAATCTTTGGGCTTTACTACTATCTCTTCTGAGATAGTCATTGAAAAAAAAGTAGCAAATCGCACAATCTTTTCAAGTCATAAGGTGGAATCACAATTCACGATTTTAGATGATATGCCCAACCCGATGCAGCCTGCACCGATTTAGCAGAGATTCGTTTGGGTTTCAAGATTGTTCTGAGGAAGAATCACCGGTAAACGGACCGATCTTCAGATACCGAGGTAGAATTTTAAATTCGACTCTTTCCAGCATGTCAAGTAAACATGTCCATGAGTTACGTGCTTTTCCAGATTCATCCCCAATTCTTCTTCCTCCGTGCTGAAATACTATGAGATTGAACTGCTCCCATCTTTATCTCGCATGATTGTCCTTTTGGTACGTATCCCACAAGTAAAAGGTAGCCGGAGCCATAATGGGAACCTTCTCCAACACGCTTTGAGAAAGAGCTTCGTTCATTCCCAGGTTGACGCTGCCGGATGAGAATCCCCTATCTTGTCATGTACAGACTCTTGCAACTTTTCTCCTTGTGCTTGACAGCCAGTTCGCTCTCCCAGGTCCTCGAACGATCATGGATTCGGAAGGAACTGCTTGTTTCTCCTGGCGCAGAATTAAGCGAAAATAATGCACGTTTTATTGAGGTTCGACCTTTATCTTTGGTCTTATCCCGCCTTTCTAACAACGATATATGGTGCCCAGGTTCCACTGGACCACTTTGGGAGCGACAACCCATCTACATTTCTCAATCGTTACTGGGTCAATGCTTCCTACTACGCTCCCGGAGGCCCGGTTTTCTGTACGCTGATCCGATGCATGCGCCCTTATCAATACTGATCTCATGCAGTATTCGATTCTGGAGAACAGGACGCTGCTCCCCTTCTGCCATATTACCTTCAAGTACTCGATTACTATCATTTGCGCATCCGCTTTCGAACTAATCAAGAAACATCCCGCCCTAGGAATACCATGGCCTCTCGGCTGCAATGCGACTGTCTAAGCGATATGGCGGTCTAGCGATACTGTGGGAGCATCGATTTTACGGCGACTCACAGCCGTTTCCGGTTAATGTAAGTCGGTCAAACATAATCTATATCTGTCGCATCTCTCACAACAGTAACAGGAAAATACAACTGCATCAGAATGGAAATATCTCACCACGGAACAAGCTCTGGAGGATGTCGTGTTCTTTGCGAACTCCTTCAGTTCTTCCGGCGTTCAAAATGTTACCCTTGATGATCCTCTATCTCTCCCACTACACCCCAGCGTGACACCCTGGGTCTTTCTCGGTGGTTCATACCCTGGCGTTCGAGGTGCTCTTCTTCGTGTCCGAAACCCAGAGACCATCTTTGCGACATGGGCTTCGTCTGCTCCTGTACACGCTCAAGTCGATATGGCCAGCTACTACAAGGCTGCAGAACGTAGCCTCACCAGAAATTGCTCTGCGGACTGGGTTGCCGTTACCAGGTACTCCTCATATCCGTTCTTTGAAATGCACCCT